GGCTCATTTATAAGTATAAATAACAAATATACTAACAAATTTTTTTGAGTGTACTTAAGCAGCTTATAGAGAAAATAAGCTTAAAATTTAAATTTTTTAAAAAACGCATACCTCAAATTTCCGCATTAATAATAGTAGTGTATAATGCGATTAGGTATTAACGAAAGTAAAACAAAATGAATTTTGTGAACTAATTTTGTATTTTGATAGGCATTAGACTTAAATTTCCTAACAGCCAACTTTAATCTATAAAAGCAGTCTATGTATAATTCGAATATTTCGCGACATTATTAACCTTTTGAGTGCAAACTTATTTTTTAGGGACGTTGTACATGTTAGGACACATGTACCACTTAAATTTTCAAAAAAGGAGCTTAAATTAAAAAAAATAATTAAAATTATTTAAAATAAAAATTCTTAATTTCTTATAAGTATTCTCAAATTTTTTGGCATTCGTTCTTGAGAGTTCAAAGTAAACTAATTAGATAATTTACAAACGATCCCATTTTTAAAATATTGCCAGACAAAAGAGGAACAAGTGTGCACTCGAAAGCTATAACATAAGAAAAGCTATAATATATAAGTTGTACAAGCAATTAATTTGCCAAATTACTTACTTAATAAAATATTTCGGGCATTACTCTCAAATCCGTTAACAAAACAGATAAGTTAAGAAAATAAATTTAAAAAATTTCCGATTCTTAAAATTTAGTATGTTGGTTACCCTTGTTTTATAATCATTAAAGAAGAATGAGACTGTAATCGTAAAGTCAAATACTTGTATAGAACACACAAAATTGTCGGGACGAATATCTTCAGAATTTAAAATTTTCGTTGAAAATTTGGTTGATTGCATATGGTTGGTGCATGTAAACAAACAAATTTACAATATACAACAGGCAAATGGACTCTGTGCGTAGTTATTTTTAATGATTGAATGCAATTTAAACTAACAGGTTATTCATTTATGATTTTCAAAGTCAAAGAGAGAGAGAGAAGAACCAAGTACGAAGAGCACTTGAACTGCAATATTTACAAATCACTCAAATTTTTTTATTGATTTATTTTGGTCTGAATTTCAAATGTTTTAGTGTATGTAAATAATTTCTGTGTATGCGTATCTACCATTCAATTTAAAAGAATTTCTGTGTAAGAACTTTAATTGGAAAATTTAGATAAAAAAAAAAACAAAATAAGAAATAAAAATAACGAAGAAGAAAATAAAAAAACTTTTCATGTTTCAAACTTCTTTCTTCCTTTAAGGAAAAGTTTTCTATAATAAAAAAAAAATAAAATCTTTTAATTCCGTCTCCTTTCTTCAAAAGTAAAAATGTCCTTGAAAAATATTTATGCTAAGTATTCCATAATTTTTCTTTAATTCTTCTTTTAAACAAGAATGAAATTAAAAGAAATGAGTAAGATGGAAGTTTTTTTAATGGTTCAACTTTAAGGCTGCTGCTTAACTTTAAAAATGTTTGAAAATTCAGTGTCTTTGTGAATGTTGTGATTAGTGAATCAAGTTTGTAATACTCCGTGTCAGCAAAAGAACGACCTAATGTAAATTAAATATATTTTAAGGAAAATTTGAATATCTTGAAATTGAAAACAGAATAAGAGCAGTTTTCCACTGCGAAATGTCAGAGTACATATAGAATACACATATTTAAATGGGACTACCCAGAATAAAGCGATATTACTGCCGCGACATTATCTCTTTCCATTAATCATATTATTATGTGTGTGTGACACTTATGTGCAAAATACTTTTCAATTGACTTTGCTGTTCTGCTATTGTTTTGGGCTATAAGAACGGAAATCGTCCGCAGTTGCCGTTCACCGCATTGATTCTGCATTAACAGTCAAGTGTTTTTTAATTGAATATAGAGAATTAGGTGAAGCAAGTGGAAACAATTACAATTATATATATTTCAATTAACTATAAAATAGTTAATTTTAAAAATTAAGAGAAAACCCCAATCACTTACAACGGGCCAACCAGTATTGAGGGGTAAATAGATGTAAGTAATAATAGTAATAGGAACCATATAGAACTATCAGAAATTTTACTTTTAAGGAAATTTTTTAAAACATATCGTAAACGTATATGTAGACTATTCTTATGTATTTGTTTAAAGAAAAATTATTTTAAAGTTTTTTATATAAAAACAAAACTTTTTACTTCATAAAGTCATAAAGACTTTAACTATTGAAAAACTTAAGGATAACGGAAATACTTATTGATTCTTCTATTTCAGTTATGCTGTCGTTTCAAATTTCCTTTTGTATAAAATTGATTTTGTATTTATATGACCGTCTTATTATTTTCCAAAAGGATTCAAACTTAATATTAAGAAAAATCAAAGAACAAGGAATAGTATTCGATTTGTTTAACGGATATTGTGTAAAAAATAGTATTTTTTTTCTTTGGTCCTTGAATATTTAATCGATTTTCGCTTTTTTCTTCGAAAAAAATATACTGAAACAAGAAAGATTTTTAAAATGAAAGATTTTCTTTGAAAACTGTGAACTAAATAATGTTCTTGTGTTTAAATATCAATGTAAGTAATGAGAAATTATGAGAAAATTTAAAAGTTACTCCCAAAATTTTAAAAATATTCGCATTAAATTTCGAAATTAAAGATAAAAGTAAAGATTTTCGAAATCAACTTAATTTAAATTTTGATGGGGGTGATAGTTTGATTGTTTTCAAGTTATGTACTCTTCTACATATCTCAAATATAATGGTTTCTATTTAATATTAACGAAAAACTTTAACCATTTTCTAAAAAAATAATAAATAGAAATTGTAAATTTAAATTTTAAATGTTGTCTGAAGGTTTAAAATTAATTATATTTCTAAATATTTAAATGAAAATTTGACAACCACGGAAAAGACTCATTATTTTTGGAATTTATAAATGGTTTTTGACTATACAAGTAATTCATAAATAATTTTGATTGACAATTTTCCGCCGTTATTTTTGTTTGATGTATAAAATAAATTCAGATCAAATCAATGTTTTGTAAATAAGCACATTTCCAAGTATTTTCAAAATCATTTCTTTTATTTGTTTTTTTTTTTCTTCAAAAAATGATTTTCTATTAATATACATAATATTTTCGCGGCTCTCTTAATATTCTTAATAATATGCCATAATTATTACATGCCTTTCGGAAGAAAATAATATTAAAAAAAGTCGAAAAAAGACGATCAAAATATACGGTTAATTGTCATTTAAAATGTTTTGTTTATAAGGAGGCATTTACATTTACTTATTTACTTATACAGAAATTCGATAAAGGAAGTAACAACGAAATGAGTTCTGAAAAAATTAAATTTAACTTGAAAATTTTTAACTTAACTTGAAAATTTCTGAACCCCTACTCGAGAGGTGAGGGGTAGAAAAAACCTTTTAATGTAAAGGTTTAATAAATTTTTTAATTACTTCATCTCCAGAAGAGGAAAAAATTTTATTTTTCTTCTTAAACGGGAGAAGAAAATTTGTTTCAATACAATAAATTGTCGAAATGTGACATTTTTAGGATTTAAATGTCAATGAAAATTTTCTTTTAGAAATTAAGTTTCTCAGTAAAATTATTTGTGTAAAACATTTCAGCTTATCTCAAGGAGGTTGAAATTTTCCAAATAAACGTATGAAAGAATGGACGGAGTGAAACTCATAGCAACGTTTTTTTTTAATATTGGTGCAAATGTACTGAAAAGATTTTGTTTTACAATTTTGGCTTTGATTATTTTGTAATTTTAAGAATTATAAAGTTAAATATTTTACTTGCAATTACTTTTCTTTTAATTGTGAATCAGAAGAAGAAAATTTTTTAATTTTTCTAAAACATTAAAGTAATGGTAATTTTAATTTTTTAAGGGAAGAATTACGAATCAGAAGGGTGAAATTTTACTAAGAAATTTTATAATTGAAGTTAAGGCAAAAAATTTTAATGAAAAGGATTATTTTTTCTTAATTATATTCTAAATTCTAAATTTTATAAATTAAAATCCTTTGAAGTTTATTAAGTTAAAAATAAAATTTTGTTTATTCTTTAGAAATTCTAAGGTGAAATTTTTGTTTTCTTTTCTGATATTTAAATGGCGTGACACAATTAAATTCATATTTGAATTTTTTAATTATAATTTTTTTTTTTGAAAATCATATTATGCGTTTGTTTTGTATTTTATTGACATTAAATTTTGTTTAATTAAATTTTTGTAAAAGTGAAAAATTTTATTTATGAAAAACGTTAATTTTTTCATTTAATTTTTACTAAAAATGTGAAAGGTCAGAAGAAAATGGAAATACTTAACGAAGAAAATTTAATTAGAAAATTTTGTACAAAATTATTGCAATTAATTTTTATTGAAAAATTTACAATAAGGTGCATAAAATGCGCTTTGATGCTTTAATAGAACAATGAAACAAAAAACAAGATAGTTTTTGAATTCAAGAAAATGCTAATTATTAAGAGAATTCTGAATTTATGGTGAGATTCTCCTTTTTTTTGGAAAAATTTTGAATTCAAAATTAAAGTGGTTTCGCAGGCGAGTATATCAGAATTTTAATTTTCAAATGTTCTTAATCGTTAGAATGAAATTGTGTTTCTAACTAAAAAAATTCATGTCAAACTTTCATCAAATTTTAATCAAATCAAACAAAAATTTTTGAACAATATTTAGCAATTAAACCTCGTCTATACCCCACTAATACTAAGTCCATTTCGATGTCTATGCTCTTGTATTATCTTTCTTTCAAAAAATTTTTATAAATTTTGAATTTTAATGAAATTATTTTGTTTGTAATCTCTTAAGTATGATATTGTAACGGGGCCGATTTCGGGAGAACAGAAAAATCATCCACAAAAGATGATTTTTCGATATAAGCAATCATGTAATATTAAATTTACTGAAATTTAATAATTTTATACAAAAATTTGAGTTTGTTAAAAATTCTTTTTAATAAAATTATTTTCTTTTTATTTACTTGCAGGTAAATTATTTAGCTGATGCAAACAAAAGTTCACTTTAATATTCTACTATTATAACATTATACGAATTGTGAGGTAAGATTATATTGAATTGAATTGTTTTAGGATTACCATAAAATTTTAAAAAAGTCTACCATAATCTACCATAAGAAAAGTTTCGAATTTTATTAACTGAAGTAACAGAAATATTAATAATTATGATTTATAACGTAGTTTCCATTTTTCACTTTTCTTCTTGAGGAAACCAGAAATTTTTATTAATTGTATATAGAAAATATGGGAATAATTTTAATAAAACCAAACTCAAGTACAATTTCAAGTATTAAATACGTGTTCAAGTTAAAGAAAGCTTTTATTCCCTGTTCAAAATATTGCAGATAATCAAAATTTTCAAAAACAAATAATGAAAATTAAATTGTAAAATATTACATACTTTTAGGGGTTTTTTTTTTTTATTGTTTTCTAATTTTCTTTGAGCACTTTGTTGTTGAGGAGCATTTTAGTTTGAGGAATTAGGAAGCACAAATAATATTAAACCTCATCAATTTTGTAGTTGCGCCGTAATCTACCAAAAAAGTCAATAACATAAAAGGCTGACAGATTTTTAATTAAACGATTTGATTAACTGTATAACTTTATGACAGTATTATCCTTATAAAATTTAAAAATTTATAAAGAATTATTTTTGACAGAATCAAGGACAAAAATGCTTTATTAAAATTTTTGCAATAAAAAGGAGTATTTTCATAAAATACTTTAAGAAAAAAATAAAATCTAAAATCAAACAAAAGACAAAATGTCCTTAAAAAATATCTAAAAGCACCCTCTTTTTTATTGTATTATGTCTCACAATTTTCAATTGAGTATACAGAAAAATGACTTATCTTGCAGTCAAGTTTTTATTGAATTAAAAATTCATTTTTCTTTGGGATTTTTTATATTCATCTAGCTTTCTCGATATGGTCAAAGATGGACAGGGATCTGATGACTTTGAATTATATTTTCCCTCTTCTTTATAAAAAAAATATGAAAATTTTGAATTTGGTTTTATCTATACATTGTGCTGATATTCGTCTTTATTTGTATTAATAGCCCATATCAGATAATTTTCATCTATTACAATTTATTTGAAACGAATCATTCTTAATATGACGATATTAGGAATGATTCATTTAAAGTATATTGACGCTCATAGCGATGTAAAATTGATTATAATTGAATGACAAATATGTGGCATTTACAGATCATTTATTCGCAAAAAATTCTTAATACTTGCAATTAAGATCGCGAAATTAAAATTTCTTTGTAACTCGTATATTGAAAATGGTCATTATTGAACAACAAATCCCATTGAAATTGAAAAAACTTTTCAATGAATAAACCGGGAAATTTACCCGAATATTGTTGGGAATTAATCTTTTGAATAATTTCCAAAAATTGTCATATAATTTTTTGTCATGATTTCTAATGAATAAAATATTTATAGTTAGTTTAACTTATACATATTTCAAGTACTTGTATATACAAGTATATAAGACCATAGAATTTGTAGGGTTGGGTTGATTTATTTTTAGAGTACATTATATTAGAATTTTCTTGAATGCAATATAATAAATTGTGGGAGTATATTATTATGCCATAACTGTCAGATAATCTAAAAAAATATATTGAGGGAATTTTCAAATGTACCGAAAAAAGAAAGAAGTCAAAAAGGTTTTAGAACTATAATTGAAAATTTCAGTACAAAGTGAATGGGAACATCACATGATCGACTTCATTATAGTGGATAATTCGTCTAATATTAAATTTAATACTGGCAAATTGTATTGTTGGGTTTCCTTATATAGGTTTATATACATTAATTGAAAATTTGTAGAATATCAATGAGCTTTTATTTAAGATATCTCCAAAGATGTAAAATTAAGTTCTGTCTTTAAAAATCAATCCTGAATATCTCATTTCATCACCTTCTTCTCTGAGCGAACGGAAAAAACACTAAAATATTTCTAAAATGGTTATGGCCATAACTGAAACCTATAAATGTGTATGAGGATCGTTTCAGTTCATTGTCATATTCTTCCCTTTTCGAATACGAAGAGAGGAGTCAATTTGACGTATTAGATGCTATGGGAACACTTCCCTTTCTGTATTAAATGCTATTGGTAAAAAATTTAAAAGGGTAAACAAAAATAAAAATAAATGAAAATTTTCTTCATAATTTGAAATGATGCATTTGCTTCTAGGGGGAATCCAAAATAATAATTGAAAATTTTTCTAAAAAATTGCAACATATTTTGTGTTATAAAGGAGGGGTTCTGTGTATATATAGTGGGAGGAATTTTGATACAAAAATATAAATTTAAAACTGTGCAACTTTAATGATATTTTTAAGTATATAAGAACTAAAAATTTATGAAAAAGGATAATATTATGAATTTAATATAAAAAATTTTGTTTTGTTCAAATATTATGATTGGATTAAGAAAAGAATTTTCAACTTTTTGATGAAAATATAAAAAATTTTAAAAAATTGAAAATTTTTGTAAAAACTTTCGAACAAAAGAAAATTTATCAACTTTATTTTTTACAATTGTAATAATTTTCATTGTTACATTAAAATATTCTTAGAGAATGATTGGGGTTTTACAAGGATATTATAACGTTTGACATGAAAAATTTATTAAAAAGTTTTGCAATCAAAGAATATTTTGATTTATTTTAAAATGGAAATATCATCATTATTGAAAAAGGAAGAGGAATTTTTGATTATTCCACTGATTCTCAAAAAAATTTAATTAATTAAAGTTTTCATACGGCTTCATTATTTAACCTACTGGTTTACTCATCGTGTTGCAAAGAAACGGTCAAATTTAACACGAATGAATGTGACTTTAAGTGAGAAAAATTGTAGTCCTGAATTACATACAGCGATTACTTTTTTCAGAAATATGAGTGTAGTTATTTAAAATTCAGTAACAATGACAAAAACTTGGTAAAACTAGTCAACTAAAATTGATCGAAAACTAGGAACTTACAATTTATTCAGCTATTATACTTATATGATTCACCTGGTCGTTCCATCAAGACACTCTCAGAAAATGGAAGTAATTAGCAAAGGAGAATACTATTTTGATGCCATACCTCTTGTGATGAACAATTTATGTAAGTGACTGAATTTTCAATTAGATTTTGCAACTTTTCCTCAAAAATAAGTCATTACTGAATAGATTAAGGTATATGATTACCCCTAAGGGCTAGAAAGCGAGCTGATTGAAAGTTTGAAAATAAAATGGAATGAGAAACAGAGTGATGGAGCAGTGTGGGAAAGATTAAATTTGAGCGAAATGTGGTAGCAGAAGAGAGGTGAATAATATTATACCGGCTGCAATAAATTTACAACAATTCTCAAAAGTTTTTTCCTATTTTTATTATAAACTTAAAAATTTTCTTTTATAAATTTTCTCTTCAATTTGTTATAATTATGTGAATGTGTACATTTCTTATGAGCTTTAGTTTTTTTTGACAAATTTAAAATATTGAGTTAAACTCCCATTTAAAATCTTCCACTTTCCCATAATACTTTTTAATAAATAAATAGATTTTTAATCATCATTACCTCATTTCATAATTTAATCTTTTGCAGTCTATAACCTCTTGTATCCGCGGTCATTGTCTAATAAATTCATATTTAACATTTTATGATTTCTCATTGCAAAACTTTCAAAGAATAGCAACTATATTGCTTTATAATTTTTGAACCAGAACAAGTGAAAATAACTTAAAAATTATAGTGTATAAAGTCAGAAAAATGGAAACAAAAAAAAATTAGTGAAGAAATATCATTGAGATCTTTACAAAGAAAAAAATCAGAAGTAATTTAACCAATTTTATACAAATTGAAATAAAATTTGTTTTTTCATGCAATTGCACTCGTTTTATATACACACACAATAATATACTTAGTGTTCAAAATTACCGTGAGTGCAAATATCATAACACATTTAATAAAAAAAATTTTATTATTATTATTATAAAAAATTAATCCAATTGTTTAAAAAAAAAAAAAAAAAAAATTATTTAAAATTTTAATTTCCATTTTATTAGTGCATTGCACCATAACATGCTCATATGAATTGTAATGAAAACCGCAAAAAAACACATCACTTATTTGGTAATTTCATTTCTAAATTGCGCTTAATAAGACACCAAAATTGTGTGTAAATAAAATTTTTAATTATGTATTTGGTTTGAAAAATTTAAAATGCAATTTTAATTTCGAAATTGAACACTAAAAAAATATTTATTTCTTCTTTTATTTGAAAATGGTTTATGAAAATTTCGGTAAAATGGTTTCGCTTGCATAATTTTAGACTATAATTGGCCAAGACTCTTTAATTCTCCAAATTTTGCTAAAACCCAATTTAAATTAGCGGAAAAGGAACCCTCAAACATAAAATTTTATAAAATGTTTAAAAATCGAAATACTTTTGCACCTTCGAAATTATAAATGTGCAATAAAAAGTTAGAATATAAGATTGGAAAATTTTATAACTTCTAATTTCGATTGTTCTACCAATTTTCGATATATCCAATGATTTTTCACTGTAATACACTATTTTCTTAGGAAATTTTCTGAGGATTTCTTGAAAAATGCATGCTTATCTGAAATTTTCTTGTAAGTTTCAGTTTCGAATATAATTCGTGTAAAAGTAATTAGTTTTAAGCGAGTATATATTAATATACGAGTACCACAATTGTTGTACCTTGGTACAGGGGTAAATCTTGAATGGATTCCAATTGAGAAACTAATGAAATTTTATTAGTGCAAAAATTATAATTTTCCTTTGAAAAACTCTGGAACTTTAACATTTATTCATTTAGGAGTACCATAATTGGGGCTATATCATGGAATACGGGAAATATTCCAATCACTCCTATTAAAAATCCAAAAAAAATTGGAATATGGCGGAAATTTTTAGAAAATATTTTTTTAATGAAATATGATCATTCATTATAAGCTTTTTTTGTATAACTAAACCTCCTTTGAAAAATACAACTTCAATCAATGTAATTTC